CCATGTTATCGATAAGAAATTGAATAAACTTTTTCCTGAGTTTGGTGGTTAACCCTGTTCCCAGGTATACCTTTCGCTCGGGGAGGTACTCGATCAATATAACCTGTTCCAGCTCCTCGACCGTTGATTTGGTGGCGTCGGAGTCTTCGGGTACAATAAAGGTTCGAGGGGTCAGAAAATCCTCTTCTTCTTCTTCTATCTCCTGCTTTCCTGATTCGATCGAGGTTGATAGTTTTGATTGCTATTTGGTTTCCTGTTTACCTTTGATGCTTGACCTTTCCGAGGTTGATAATGTTGATACCGTTATTACCTCATCAACTGCAAACATTTCCTTTGTAGCATGCTGCTCCCCGTACACTGTTTTCACATCGGCCAATGTCGGGAATTTCATTATTTGGTGAAAAGTCGAAGGAACTGCCCTCATATTGTGGATCCAAGGCCTCTCGAGTAGGGAATTGTACCTCATGTCACCCTCGATCACGTGGAACTTAGTATCTTGAATGGTTCCGGACATGTTCATTGGCGGAGTAATCTCACCTTTAGTTGTTTCGCTAGCCATGTTGAAGCCATTTAAGACCCGAGCTGCAGATACAATTTGATCTTGTAGGCCGAGTTACTCCACGACTCTCGATCGAATGATATTCGCCGAATTACCTGGATCCACTAAAATACGCTTAACTTGAACTTTATTTAATAAGATAGAAATTACCAGAGCGTCATTGTGTGGTTGAGAAATGCCTTTTGCCTCTTCATTGTTGAATGATAAGGAGCCCTCGAGCATATAATCTCGGGTCCGTTTTTCCCTAGTAACAGATACCTTTGTGCGTTTGAATACGGGCCCTTCTGGAATATCAACCCCGCCGACTATCATATGAACGATATGCTGTGGTTCCTCCTGTTCACTTTTCCTATTGGTGTCTTTGTCTCTGAAATGATTCTTGGATCGATCGCTAAGGAACTCTCAAAGGTGGCCCTTATTGAATAGACGAGATACCTCCTCCCTTAATTGCCTGCAATCCTCGATCTTGTGACCATGCGTGCCATGAAACTTGCACATCAAATTTGGGTTTCTTTGGGAAGGATCGGTTTGTATGGGTCTGGGACACATAGTAGTTTTTATCCTTCCGATTGTCAAGACAATGCCTGATGCATCGACGCTAAAGTTATATTTCGATAACTGAGGTGCATCTACAGATCAGTGTGCTTATCAAAACCACTTTTGCTCATAAGTCCCCGAGAATTTTGTCCTCGATCGTTTCTTTAATCATTCCGAGAGGGATTGCGCCCCGAGCCACTATTTCTTCGATCTACAATATATGGCTGATATCGTTCTCTATTCGACCTTATCTCCCTGTTGATATCCCTCGGGGCTTTAATTGCCAACATATTTGGATGTACTGAACCGGAAGGGGCTCCTAATTGGCCGTCCTCGACCCTGATCTTCGATTGATATCGATTGTGCACATATGCCCAAGTTACAGCTGGATACTCGACCAAATTTTGCTTCAACTATCATGATGCTATCGAACTCCGCTCGTTCAACCCTTGGGTGAAAGCTTGAATGGCCCAATCATCTGTGACCGGTGGTAACTCAATGCATTCCATTTGAAATAGGGATATGAATTCCCTTAGCATTTCGTTATTCCTTTGTCTTATCTTGAAAACGTCCGATTTTCTTGTTGCGACCTTTATGGCCCTGACGTGTGCCTTCACAAAAGAATCTGCTAACATGGCAAATGAATCGATGGAATTCAGTGGCAAGTTGTGATACCAAATCATTTCTCCCTTTGATAGAGTTTCCCCAAATTTTTTCAACAAAATGGACTCGATCTCATCGTCTTCTAAGTCATTTCTCTTTATCCTGCATGTGTACGAAGTGATATGTTCATTAGGATCGGTGGTCCCGTTGTATTTAGGTATATCTGGCATACTAAACTTCTTAGGAATGGTCTTTGGAGCCGCACTCTGAGGAAAAGGCTTCTACATGAATATTTTTGAATCCAGACCCTTTAAGATCAGGGATGCCCCCAGTATCTGATCGACACGGGAGTTGTATGTTTTCACTTTTTTATCAGTATCATCGATTTTCTTTTCTTCCGACTCAATTCTTTTGGTGAGCTCCTCGAGCATTTTCATAATTGTAGGACCAGTCCCTGATTCGTTACCATTCGACCTTTCCGGCACTAGCTCGGTACGACGAGTGATTTTCGGCTCAACCACACTCGGAGTTCTATGTTGACTCTGAAGCTAAGCAATAGTGGCCTGCTGGGCCTGCAGCATCTCGAATATTACCTGGATACTAAATCCCCCGTCTCCTACGCCCTGTGTTCCTTGGCCACCAGATCGGCCTTCCCTGCGCACACTCCCTTCGGGGTCCGCACCCAAATACGCATTCAAAGCAATGTGTGAATTGACATCGACTGGATCGACGACTGGTATTCCCCTGAGATTAGACGATGGCACCCCGGCTCCTAGAGCAATTACGTTATCATTTTCCGTGTGAAATCCAAGACCATCATTACCATGCAGGGGTGCGTTTTGTGAGTTTGACATGTTTTAACCTGAGAACAAAAATTCTTGATAAGAACAAGTGTGAAAATAACGTGTATTTTCGGAATCAACACTAAAACAATCACTATTATCCTTAGCCCCACGGTGGGCGCCAAACTGTTTACCCTAAAATTCGAGTAACAATTAAACTTATATTGTGGTTTTAAGGATATGTGATTTACTCCAATACCAATTGATAAACAAGGAATTAAATATATAAATTGAAGAATAAAATAAGTCAAACCAGTGTGCAAGCCTAATCTCGACCTCGAGCTATGGCAGTCTCAAGGTGGAACAGTGGAAATAGCAAGTTACAAAGCAACTCTTGATGAACAATGAGTAAAATAGCTAGAGAATAAAGTGTATGTATTATCTTATCAGTCAAAAAAGTCCCATACAAATGAATGGGCTCCCCTATATATAATAGGGGAGTCCTAAATAAGGTACACTTCTAATTACAGTAGGAAATCATATTTGACAACTCTCTAACCGCCAAGGATCAATCCATTCCGCAATTTACGCCGTGATCCTTTGAGGTCGTTGCGGGTATCTAGCTCTTTCTGTTACTGAACCATAACGGTATTATCTCGAGGTATGCCTTCTTCCGACCTCAGCAAATGATTTCGACCTCGACCCCGGTACTGGAAAGGAACCTCGACCCCGAGCTCAACGTCCTAGACCCTCAACGTTATATCACCTTTTCTATTGAAGAACGAAATCGGGTGCCCCCATTTCTACCGTATACATACTGATCACATAATATTTTGTGTTACTATAATTCTTCTAGTTTGTGTATCAGTGTATGAATTTGTGAATTACCTCTATTCTTGTGGCCGCCATGAGGATTCAGCTATTGCGATCAAATTAATTTCATTGTTAGGTCAGAGGAAATTCTCGCCTATACCAATTTTTTTTCTATTTTGCTTCTTCATTTCTTTTGGGGCATTTGCATCTATACCCGCTTTTTGGGTCACGTTTTAACTTGTGCCCGTTTTGCAAAAAAATTGCAAACGTACCCACGTTTTTGCGTAATTTCAGTATACGGGGCTAAAGTAGCAAAGACAATCACGCAAAACTTCAGCATTCTAATAGACGGGCCTGAAGTAGCAAGTGCTGAACCAAGTGTGCTGAAGTTTTTGTTTGTAATTGATGAACTTTAGCATAGTAGCTGAAGTTTTGTTCTCTATTTGCTGAAGTTTTTGTTTATAATTGTTGAACTTAAGCATAGTAGCTGAAGTTTTATTCTCTATTTGCTGAAGTTTTTGCTTGTAATTGCACATAATAAGCTGAAGTTTTTTTTGTCCTGGATTCATTAGTTGTCATTAAGCTTTTTCAAAAATTCCAGCAGAAGATGCTGAAGTTATTTAATTCATTTATAAGAACTTCAGCACTAAATAAGCTGAAGTTTTTTTGTCCTGGATAAGCTTTTTCAAAAACTTCAGCAGAAGATGCTGAAGTTATTTAGTTCATTTGTAAAAACTTCAGCACTAAAAGCTAAAGTTTTATTGTCCTGGATTCATTAATTTTGTCATAAAGCTTTTTCAAAAACTTCAACAGAAGATGCTGAAGTTATTTAGTTCATTTGTAAAAACTTCAGCACTATATAAGCTGAAGTTTTTGAAAAAGCTTTCTAACATACTAGATAAATAATCAGATTGCCAACAGTATCTAAATCAAAAATTTTGGAAACAATAAACGTGAAAAGAACAGAATTGTCATTGTCTACTAACTTACGTACGTGAAAATATTTACAAATTATTGTCTACTAACTTACGTAATTATTTATAATTTATTTTTAAATAATCTGATAAACATGTTTATGACAATCATCCCATGAACTGAAGTTTCATAGCAGCACCTGCAGCAACAGAAGAAAGAAGAAGAAGAAGAAAACAACGGAGGAGAAGGAGGATGAAAAATATTGTTGAAATTATTTAAAAAGTGGGTACAAGTTAAAACTTTTAAAAAAATTGATATAGATGCAATTTTTACTTTTCTCTTGTTCGACTGCGAATTTTCAACTCAATGACCTTTCTCATCTATTTTACTACTATTGCATAGTCAACCGATAAACCTGTCATGATTAGTGAAACCTTATAATGGAAATGGATGTGCTAGCTGGAACTGCCATATTTCTCAGCCAAAAACACACTAAGGTTTCGTAGATGGGACCTATTTACATACTGGAGATGATCCTACAGTATTTCTTGTTTTATAAATTTTTATTTGAAATTTGATGATTTTATGGATAGTCCAACATGTAGCAGTTGAGACAAATTTTAGCACTCTATAGAGTATTGGTTCTATTAAACGACTTTGACTATAAGTATTTTTTTAATAGTAATTTTCATCAATATTTACACGTCTATTGATAATAAACACATCAAATCATCCATAAATAAATAAAACACCTAATACCACCACCAATACAGAAAACGACAACAACAATATAACCAGTTACAGTAACAATAATAGTCATGAGCTTTTGATGTATTGAACAATTTAATGTCATTGTATCATTAGCGAAATTTCTTTGAATTTACAACATGAATCTACCTAATCCAATTTCTAAAAACAAATACTAATAAAGAAAGCTAGTGTTGTTTGATTCTTTTGGTTTGGTCAGTCAAAACAATTAGGAGTGGCATTTAATTTAATATATTTTCAGTAGGGCATGATGTGAGTAGTCTTGGTATCATAACTCGCCAAACACGACTTTGAATAATTCTTACTAGTATTATTATTCACCACTCGCAATGCTTTGACCAATTCCCCACACGTCTGCCGTGCACCGGTGGAGCAATCACTCTGCATCACCAGCAACACCTTGGTCAGCCCATTGACCTTCCCTACAACCTCACGCGCCGCCGTATCACGCGCCAAGCAGCATACGCTCCACAGTACAGTCACGCCGTGCTCTGTCGCCGCCCTCGAGCTCTTCATGAGCCTCGTAACTACTGCCATCAAGCACTCCTCGTCCTTCCCTATCGCCGCCCTCCCTTCCGTACATGTCGCCACCGTTTCCAACAGCTTCAGCGACTTCTCCACCACCACTCTAGCGGAGTCCGAACCGCTAAGGATTTTCCCGACGGTTTGCACGATTCCGAACCGGACTAGCTCTTTTCTCGCTGGTCTGGTGGTTGAGATCGCGATTAGAGCTGATAAACCGGCCTCGACCGCGAACCTGTTGGTTTCTGTGCGGGTGAATACGTGCAATTCGTAGAGTAAACCTTGATCCTCAACGAATTTTCGCTGCGAATCGGCGTCTAGTGCGATGAATTCCAGAATCCGAGCGGTTTGAATGCGCGAACTCAGTTTTCCTTTTCGAAGAATCAGTAGAAACTTTGAGAGAAAATCTCGATCGCTCCGCAAAACCTCCTTATTCAACTGCTCTTTAACTCCATTCTCTAATACAACCAAATCCAAAACCGCAATAACAGTTTCACAAATCTCAACCACATCAGAATCCACCAAAACGCCAACAACATTCGCTATCGCACCACTCGAATTAACAAAAAATCTCCGATTCTCATCGGAATACTTCACGAACTCCGCAATCTTCACCAACGAACTCAACCGATTCTCGCCGTTGAGATTTTTGACAATTTCGAGAACTTCTGACTTTGAGACGGCGGAGGAGGAAGAAGGCGTGGTGGCGGCGGAGGGTGAGTTGGCTGGCTGATGCTGAAGCCATNATCGCACCACTCGAATTAACAAAAAATCTCCGATTCTCATCGGAATACTTCACGAACTCCGCAATCTTCACCAACGAACTCAACCGATTCTCGCCGTTGATATTTTTGACAATTTCGAGAACTTCTGACTTTGAGACGGCGGGAGAGGAAGACGGCGTGGTGGCGGCAGAGGGTGAGTTAGCCGGCTGATGCTGAAGCCATACGTTGATGAGTCGCCGGAGAGTGAGGTTAGGTGTGAAATCGGTGGAGGGAAGGATTTGCATGGTGGCGGGACAGGTATTGTGGCCTTGGGAAAGCCAAGTTTGAATGGAGTTACGATCGTATGTGACGCCGGTGCAGAGACTTACCGGAGACTTCATTACGTCCATTGATATCGGACATCGGAAAAGGCTCGGAACGGTAACGTATAATTCTTCTCTCCTATTTCTCATCATTTTTTGCTACTCTTTCTATTTTCTGCCTTGTGGGAATAATATAGCTAGTTATGTGGACGGTGTTTGTGCTTATAAAGGGAGAGTCAAAGTGTAAAGTGGTGACGTCGATTTGGTCAACTATATTGGGTTTGTTTAAGTAAACAAGTGGATTTCTTTTCATATGCACCTAAGATAATGCGCTGTTTTTTTAAGTACATTGCACACTATCTTTAAAAAAAAAAAAAAAACTTCTCTTGATTTATTTATTTTCTTGTAAGATTATTAAAATGTGCAGAAGTGACCCGAATGTTACTCCCTTCGTGCCTAACTCAGAGTTAGCGTAATTTGATTGAAATGAAATTTAAGAAAGGAGGAAAAGAACATTTAAAACTAGTGATATTAAAATGCCATAAGATTTTTTTTGTCCATAAAAACATGTCATTTATGATAAAATGAGAACTTTGTAATTAAATTATTTTAAATATAAAAATATGTCAGTTTTTTTCAGTTAAATTTCGCCAAATATTTGAAAAGTAAAGTATATATCTAAGGACCAAAATAGTCCAACAACTATACATTATACCACTTAATTAAGGACCACTTTGATAATTTTCTCCAAGGAAGTCCGATCAATCTTTAATATTGTAATGCTTTTTGAGATCTTATTGTTGTAAGTATGGAGAGGTTTAAGAATAGAGATTATATGAAGTGAAGAAAAAGGTGCATATCTTAGGGAGCACTCAATCAAGTGCCACTAATTATTTCCATATTAATCAAAGAATTGGTCAACATCAAGTACAATTATGTATGTTAATTAGTGGGCTTAATTAATAATATAATGATAGACATAAGATGATTAGGAAGTATATTTGAATTTTGGGTAAGCGTGTAAAACGGGACGGGACAGCGAAGTCCAAGTTTTCGGGTTTGTTCAAGTGGAGCCTACGCGTTGAAATGAAGGGGCATGATTTTCTTGGGTTGATTTCAGTAAGTCAAATAGTCCGCTTGGCCCGTGAACCCATGATGTTTCCGTCAAACTAAGTATTTTATGTAGATATTTTTTTAGAATTTGTCTAGTATTATCTGTTGCCACTCATGCTCCAAAGAAGCTAAATGGTGCGCTTGAATGTTAAGTTATTTACCTAGAGGACTGAGGATCAAATCCCACTTAATACTTCTTCTTTTTTCTCCTTTTAGTGGTGCACCCATATTATAAAAATTCTAAATATGCCATTGGACACATTAGTTACCTAGGCATGCTAGTACATTACAAGCATCATTTGCTAAATACTTAACAAAAATACATTGTTCCTTTTGTCCTTCATTACAAAAGATTCAACAGAAGATGGAGGTTGTACATAATACTTCTTCACCCTTGTTTGTGCATAAGCCTCCTTTGCTAGTTGGCGTGCCACTTTATTCCCTTGCCTGAAGACGAATCGGAAGACCACTTCCTTTTCCTGATGCATTAACAACTTGCATTCATTAACAATATCGTCATATAGTCTATTGCCTTGTTGTATAGAATGGATTGCCTCAGTGGAATCTGTTTCAATCTCCAGTGGGAACATTGTCCATTCTTGCGCCGTTTGGAGTCCCTCAAGGAGAGCTTTGATTTCTGCCTCTAGTGAACCATTTGTATAAGTAGATTTTGTAAAACCTACCACCCAATTTCCTTTTGTGTTTTTTAATACACCTCCCAGGTTACTCTTTTGATTGTTATTCTTGTAGCTCGCATGTATATTTAATTTGTACCAGCCTTTCGGAGGTTTGTGCCATTTTATATTGATAGTCATTTTCTTAATAGGGCTGTGACTACTTCCATTTAGGAGCTTGAATTCTATTGCTCTTTGCTTCATATGATCGATATTGATAGGAGTGTCAGTATTGTTTTGGTTATTACTATTTCTATTCAACCAAATATTTCAAAGAGCAAAAGGAGAAAAGGATTTCCAATTAATATTGTCATCTTTTAGAATGCAATCAAAATCTTTTATTTGTAAAAGCCAGTGACTGCTCATTGGTTTATAGAATTCTGACCATCCCAAGCTCTCCAAATTTTTTTTAGTGGTTTTACAATTGAAAAAAATGTGATTGATGGACTCCTCATTTCTTTTACAGATGGGGCACATGAGATTTATGTTAATACCTATATGGGCTAAATACGCTCTACATGGTAGTCTGTTGTGGAGGCATTGCCATAAGAAGAACTTATTCTTATTAGGACAATTTAATTCCCAATACCATTTGAACTCCAATTGTTGTGTTAACGGTGGTTCAATTAGATCGTACTAGGATTTTGTGGTAAAAATGCCCTTTGTGGTGAGGGACTGAGGGACTATATAGGAATGTCACAAATTGGTCCCTTCGTACGAATTCTGGCTTTAGAAATATTTTCTTTGATATCATTGGGGAGATTTATAGAGAATTTTGTGAGATCCCATTTGTGGTCGCTATGGATATCCCTAATTTTAAAAAAATAATCAGTAGCTGAGAGAGGGCCTTCAATAGAGTTCCTAAGGCTTTTTGTATTGGGTATCCAATTAATTTGCCATATATTCATGTTAGTTTGATAGTGAGGTGACCAAGTAATGCCTTTTGAGCAAATCTCTCATCCTTTTTAATACTTTTTCAAATAAAGAAATGTGTATTCTTGGCTGTACTAGTGTCATACAAGGTGATAATAAGCTTTGTACATGGGGTTGTTGCGTTATTGAGAAGTCTCCACGCTATGCCTGTTAAGAGGCAAATATTTTTGCACTAGCATTACGATTGCCTAGACCCCTATTGGACTTTGGTTGGCAAACGTTAGACCATTTGATTAGATGGAGTTTTTTCTTTTCTGTAGTAATGCCCCATATTTTTCAAGGGCTTTTTGGTAGAAGGGTATATTTGGTAGAAGGGTATATTGCATATAGTGGTTTGAGATTGAATTTAGGCAAGATTGGGCTAGTGTGGTTCTTCCCGCAATATTAATAAACCTGATTTTCCAGGATGCCAGTTTTACCCCCATTTTATCAATTATGAAATGGTAGTCGGCTTGTCTAGGATTTTTGTTTAGGATTGGGAATCCTAAATAGGAACCAAATGATTCACTTTTCTTAACACCTAAGCTACTGGTAATATGCTTAACTATGTGTGGCAAGCAGTTGTTTGACAAAAGAATTTTTGATTTTGTAGCGTTTATACATTGTCCTGATAGGCTACAAAAATAGTCTAGACCCATTTTAATGGCTTGGCATCATTTGTTATTTGCTTTTGCCATTAATGTAAGGTCATCTACGAAAAACAAGTGTGAAAAATAAGGGCTTTTCCTTCCATTAGCAATAGGGTCCCAATTGTGAATATCTACTTGGTGATTAATGTATCTAGATAACATTTCCATATAGAGAATAAAAATATATGACGATATAGGGTCACCTTGCCTAATCCCTCGACTTGGTTCACAGAAATTTGTGTTGGTACCCTTCTTCGAATCGAATCACGCATACGTGTATTCGTTTTATATATTATATATTTTTTAACG